GAGCTGGTAGACCTGCTAGGATCGAGCAGCTCTAGATACATACTCAATCGTTTTCATGGCTAAGTTCTTCTCTGTCAGGACATTACTTGCAGGGGTGGTTTATCAAAACGTGTATAATCCTCTGCTGTGGTTGTTACAATCATGTTCCAAATTCCCAGGGGCCCGTACTGCACCGACAAGTTTCCCACTGGGCCTTGTCACACTGACTATTTTGCGATGCCGCCATGCCCCCCCAGCTCATTCCTAATGATCTTGGCAGGTGGTGTGTCCTCTGGGTCCTCTCGTGAACGTAGTCTTCTAGTAAGACTTGGACTGGACACGAGCTATCCATTCCAGCATGACTGTTCCTCTCATGCTCTGCCCCTTCCCCCATCATCAGCTGGGACAGCCGAGCATCACCAACACACTCACCATCCCTTTCCTAGGCTTCTGAGAGCCATACTAGCAGCAAATATACCTATTTCCTAGAGTTCTTGCCAATGTCTGGAATCTTGTGTCCTGAAATCAACAGATTCTCGCTTCTTTGGTTATGTATTCTGCCCCCTTGATTAAATGTTTACCAACCCAGATCTCAGGAGACCTTCCCTAGCCACTGCTGCTTATGTTAGCTACTTCAGACAGACTCTTCAGTGTGCAGTCTTTTTCATCCTTTATCAGGCTAGCATATCTCTAGCTGATTATGCTAAAATTTAACTCCAGTTATTTTCTGGGAATGTGACAAGGAGATGAAGACTGCTTCCAAGGCAGATGCTTTTTGCCTTTCTGGGAAGAAGTCTTGCCACAGCTCCAGCCAAGAGGCTCCACCTCTTACTCACAGCTCTAGCGTGAGAGGCGCCACCTCTTACTAGGAAAAAGGCACCTCTGCGGTTCCTGAGGGTTTACGTGCTGAAGGGATCTACCCAGATGTCCCTGCCTGTTGCTCCCATGCCATATTTAGGGCTCAAGAACTCCTGATCTGAGCTTTGGCTTTAGCAAACATGCTGCCTTGCTGAGCATTCAGACACCAAACATCGCTGGGTTCAAGCAGTTCCATCCATCAGCTCTTCTATCTGCCTATCTCAGTTATGACAGCTATTCCACTGAAGGAGATAAGGATGTCTCTGCTAGCTACGAAAAGAGGTCTCTGGCTCTCAGACTTAGCCTGTAACCCCAGTAACAGCCCTCAGACTCTATTAACCCCATGCAGGAAAGCCTGGAGATAAGCGGCAACTCCATCATGCATCTCAGAGCGACTCCCTTTCTCTCCTAAGACATGACAAATTCAAGACTGTTCTCCTTCACCAGGACATGCATCAGTGTGCTGCTAGTAAACCAGTGCCTAGCCTAGGAATTGCCTGCATCCCAGCCACTCCTCAGGATGATCGTCCTTCTGTCAGAGGGTGACTGTGTGCACCCCATCTCAATGCCTATTTGTCAGGTGACTCGAACAAAATGAACTCACAAATACAGAACAGAGTAGACAGCTGAAGTCACCCTCTGATCTGATTGGAGTGAATCCACTTCCAGGCAGGAGCAGGAAGAAGGGGCATGTGACCCTTCTCCCTCTCCTTATAAGAGGTCACATGCAATGGCAGGGAGCACCACCTCCTTTGGAGCATATAGCCCAAGGTCATGTTACAAGGTGTGTGATCTGCCTCCTGTGATAGAGATAGGGGGAGGAAGGGTGGCTGGGTAGGAAGAGCCTCGGACTTCAGTGAGATTCATTTGAGCTGATGAAGATCTTCAAAGTTAAACATATAGTCTATTAGTGAACTTTGTACAGGAGCCAGGGGAGATGGTTCAGTTCATAAGACGCTTGCCACACAAACATGAGGTCCTGAGTACAAACCCCAGAACTCATGTAAAAAGCTAGGCAGGTGGCAGGAGCCAGAAACTCCAATGCTGGGGAGCCGGAGATGAATTGGTGCAAGACCCTGAATCAAATAAAAAAAACATATTGAACAGTGATTGAACAAAACACCCAACATTGATCTCTATCCTCAATGTACAAATATATACACATGAATCATACACAACACACACACACACACACACACACACACACACACACACACCCCTTTGTGTAATAAACAAGGAAGAAACTGTTCTGTTGCCCTAAACAAAGAGTGTTGCTATCAACATCACAGTGTGTCTTGGGCCTACTCATCTGGGGAGAATGAAGGTCTATCCACACAAGCCACGTCAGTCATGAAGAAGGGGCGTATCTGCAGAGTCTGCAGTCCAATGAGCCCACACTGGTTCCCAGGATATCATTCCTTTTTTATACTGGTCTTCCTCTCATTTCCACTCAGAATCTGTTCTAAAGAAAGGAGCTAAATTTTGTTTTTGTTCATTTTGTTTTTTGAGACAGGTCTCACATGTAGCCTTGGTTGGCCTGGAACTCACTTTGCAGACCAGACTGACCTCAAACTCAGAGATCGGCCTGCCTCTGCCTCCTGAGGGCTGGGATTAAATGTTAACTTTAATGATTCTAAGAATAAGAGGCTTACAGCTAGGCAGATATGAAAAGCAGATGCCAGTAGGGTGAGAATGCTACCATAGATTTTTCTGACACAGAAGCAGTGTGTGGTAACAAGGTAAGAAGCCTCACAGCATACCCTGCAACCGCTTTTTAGCCTGTGGGGATGCTTGGCATTCCCGTGGAAGGCAGATAACTCAGCAGTCTAGTCACATTTTCTCCTTGAATATACAAACTTTCAAAATAGGAAAGGGATCCGGTGGAACACATACATCCACAAAAAGCAGAGCTCTACATTTTCTAAATGTTTAAGGAAATAGTTTTGGTTGTGAGCCTAGCCTTTAATGGCTGAGCCATCTCGAGACCAAGAGCTATAGGGTATCACTCTGTATGTGCTGACCAAGCTCTTTACCTAGACGGCTGTAATCTCCGGCTAGTGCCAGCAACAGGAGCCCCACAAAGTGTGTCCTTTATTGCAGTGTTTACCACGGAATTCATGTCAAGACAAAAGTTGTTCGTTACTCACGCTGCTCTTTATGCACATAATACACTGTGCTCTAATTATTTGGTTTTCTCCAAGACAGGAGTTCCTAAGGACTAGACTCTAATTTGTATTTCTGTTTCCAGCATTTAGGTTAGGGGTTGTCATGGAGGTACTTAACAAGTATTTATTAAATATTTGAATGAAAGATTAGTATAGAGACAGACATCTCAGATCTTGCCCTCTTGACCAAAATACAATTACCTTATGTATCAGACCTGGGCACAGAGTTAATTCAGATTTCTCCTTGATGCTGCCAAGCTCCTTAATTCATCACCATCTCTCCCCTTTATTTTCTACTTGGTAGGATTGGCTTCAGTGTTAGGTAATACATATGTAATAAAAACTCTAATTACCGGTTAGACTCGTCTGCTTATTATGATACTACTCTTTTATTAAAACTAGATTTCACTCCATCACGAACTCGGCTATAAAATAGAGCTCTTTTGCTTTCCACCAATTCTGTTGGCGCTCCTTTTTAATTCAAATACTGCTCTGGGATCAACAACGCAATAAGACGTAATTATGTTTTAAGATCCATGAACTGGTTGTGAAATGCAGGTATTTTCTCTCTGGGTAGCTGCTCCAGGAGCTACACTGAGAAATGTATTTTTATCTTGATGTATGGGGATTTACAAAGGAACATACCCCTCAGAGCTGCAAGTAGTATTCTGTAGGAACGCGGGAACAAATACCACCCATCACCACTTTATTATGTTCACAATGTACTCCATTATCATCAGTATGTGAGCATAAATCCTCATAAGAAACCTCCCAGTATTAAAAACCATAATTATAACATGTATTTATTCCAAACATATGTACCACCATTTCAAACTACCCACCAGCTGAATATATTTTGCAGCTTTCAAAATTTGACTAGTGCGAAGATGGCTTTTATAAATGTGATTTATGACAAGTTAGGTGCCGAAAACCATCGTAATTACAAGTACTGTAAATGTTTTCTCTCTGCTTAAGTAGCCTCGCTGAGGAGGACAGCGTTCATTTCCTGTGGGCTGGGTCTTTTGGCTCCAGCCTTCTCCACAGCCAACAGGCTGCTGTGTTCCCAGCTCGGCCTCACCAGTGAAAGATTAACAAAACTTTTCAGCGCTCGGCTTGCTTTCCCCTCTGGAGCGATCCGTTTTCCCATCTCCAAAGAGGGCAGCCTCTCCTAACATATGTTGGAAATTGTTGTTCGACTTCACAGAGTACACAAACACAAGACTTTTCTCCGTTCTCGGTGCCAGAGCAGACGTTTCAATGGAATATTTCATTCTAATGCAGAGCCTGTGTGCCAGAAGAGAGGCTTTGCAAATGAAATTCAGGAGGGCTTTTTTTTTTTTTTTTTAAACTTTGTGGCATCTGGGGTTTCTATAAAGCACAAGAGACCCGACTTTGAGTATAAAAACTTTAAACTTTTAACCTACCTGGATTTGAACAGGATAATAAATTGTTAAGTAATGATTCTTGGCCAAATGTTAATAATCTTCATGAAAAGTAAAACCACAGTCATGGAAAAGGCTGTGATATTCTACACCTTTCTAGCATCTTCCATCTCATTAGCTAACCCCCCCCACACACACACACACACCCGGCCTCTGTCTCCACGCCAAAGGAAAACCAAGCCAAGAGGAAAGGAACCACGACTTCCCTGAGGTTACTAAGGAGTGAGAACCCAGATTCTCCAGTTTCCCTCCAGTGCTCCGGTCCCCAAGGCCCCCACGGCCACTTTGTAAATTATATTGTCAGCAGCACTGCCTCTCGCTCCTTCTCTTTAGTAAGCATATACTTCGTAGTTTACAAAATGGCTTTAGTAGTTTTTAAAAAATGTAGCCACCAACTGTCTTGCTTACAGTCAACTATTTCTAAAAGGCGATTTAAAGATCTGCAGTTCAGCTACTTGGGACCAATAGACGTGCCAGAAACCAAAGTTCACTCTTTTCTTGGTAAACCTTCCAGTTTGAAGGGAAGTTAGCTCTTTGGATTTATTAATGCCGCATGTTAATTAGCAAGTTTTGATTTTATTAACAAACCAAAATAATTTAATACAGTTGCTGATCTATCTCAGTTTATATTAGCTGAACTCCTAAATTATCCCGTAACTGAATACAGAGAGCTTCCTATACAAGCGTGAATGGAAATTTAGCATATAGCTGTTCTTTACAGAGAACAAGACTTGGGGAAGTGTGTGCATGCGTGCCTGCAGGCTTTCCTTCCCGCCAGCTTTCAGGCCTCTGCATCCCAGCTCAGCCAGCTCTGTGAATCAAATCTGGGCCACCGGTGAAGTGACTTTTGCTTCTTTCCGTCAGATTGTCCTGGCATCTTATTATGCCGTAACATTTTACTCCACAAATATTTCTTTGCATGTGTTCTGCGAGCAAAAGGCCCATGTCTCCAGAATCAATAGAAAAGCAGGAAAAATGCAGAAAATAACAGACACTGAAAAAAAAAAAAAACCAGCAGTCACAACATATTGTCAACGTGAGATGGGGTGTTGGCGGG